GACTGGAGACCACATACACACTCCATTCTCTGCTTCAGCCTCTTGCTGACAAGACACATGTAGTTATGCTGATGGAGTGAGAGCCCTGGGGCTGGAGGAGCCACATGGAGACCCATGCCAGTGCTGAGATGCTTACACTGCCACTGGATCCACAGACTTTCCACCCACTGCCTGTGATCTTCCTGTATTCGGCATTATTGCATGGCTGCATGAGTCTGATGAGGAATTTACAGACTGGTATCTGACACACGGGCTAATATTGGACTTACAGACTTGATCTGGACTGGACTGGGATGTTTTCTTAATATACAATTACTCTTTGATGTAAAGTTCTCTATTATACATATATGAGTGTCTCTGGGTTTGTTTCTCTAGTCAACCCAGACTAATACACCTTCTAATCCTAATGCCACATTCTTCTTCATATAACTCAGCTTCTCTGATGATTTGTTCAGTATACAGATTGAATATGTATCATAAGAGGATACAACCCTGACATACCTTTCCTGACTTTAAACCATGCAATATTCCCTTGTTGTGTTTGCACAACTGCCTCTTGATCCATGAACAGAGAAAGGTAGTGTACATAAGAGATTTTTTAAAGTTGTGGGGAAATTCCATTATCTTTTGATTCCATTTAAATTCCCCGAGTATATGTGTGTGTATGTATTAAAAACAAAACAAAAACCCAACTCCAAATTCCCTGCCATCGAGTCAATGAGAGCCCTTGGGACCCAATAGGACAGGGAAGAACTGGCCCTGTGGGTTTATGAAACTGTTAACTCTTTAGGGGAGTAGAGAGCCTCATCCTTGCATAGATACATATGTGTGAGGGTGAGTGTCTGTGTGTGTGTCTGTGTGTATATGCCTTAACCAATAGATAATGCTGATGCCCCTTATGTGTGTGTCTGTGTATCCACATATAAGGTCATCAGCATCCAATATTGTCCAGCAAATTTCAAACCTACTCTCCTTTAGGTATTCCATTGTAAATGAACATTGACTTCGGCAAAATGCTGTGAGGCTCCCTTGTTAATGCTGGCACCAGGGAGCAGCGTACTTTCTCCGGACAGGGCTAGAGAGTAAGCATTGATGTTTTGGCCTCTGCCATCACAATCCAAGCCAGCGCAGCCCAAAGCAGCTCTGCATATGTGGATTGGCGTGACTGGGTTCCAGTACAATGTTGTTTACAAAAGCAGATGGTGAATGGCTGACTTCCTCATTCATGTCCGCTCTGAGGAATTTACATGGTCACCCAACAAAACTCTCCTCTGCGCAGCATTCCAGAGAGCATCCCTTAAACGTGACCAAGGTCACCACTCTGAGTCTCTTTGTTTCATCCATAGGGGGAGCCAGAAGTGGTGTTTGCTGGGTCTTGGGGAGGAACACTCCGGCGTCTGCAGACAATGCCGATGGACTCCCACGTCCACACGCAGGGAGCGTACACCCAAGCTCACTATTACTGAGTCCCTGATGGTTCACAGCGACCCTAGAGGACAGGGGAGCCCTACGGGCCCCTGTGGGTTTCTGAGACTGTAACTGTTTATGGGGATAGAAAGCGCTGTCTTTCTCCCAAGGAGTGGCTGATGGTTTCAAACTGCTGACCTTGTGGTGTACAGCCCAACGCATAACCACTGTGCCACTGAGGCTCACTAGGAGCTCCAGATATTCCGTGTCCTTCCCACGTCTTGGCTACTTCAGACTTTTTAGTGTTGCCAGCCCAACATCATGAAAATGGTGGTGGTGGTGGTAACTCGCATTCCCCAGTGCACCACTCCATGAGGTGAGTGACCATTTGGATTCCAGACCCAAAAAACATACACTGCCCTCCAAGCAATGCTGGATCATAGCACACCCCCGAAATGGCAACTGTCTACGGGAGTAGAAAGCCCAGTCTTCTCTCGTTTAGCTGCTGGTGGTTTTGAACTGCCAGTCATTACACCACCAGGGCTCCTATTTAGATTCCAGAACATGTGAATCCATGGAACCGAAAGTCCTTCCCTTTGACAAAGGCCTATTGACATGTTCTGCCTTTTTAAAAAAAAGAGGTGTTTGTCTTCTTGCAATGGATTTGCAGAAACTCTTGATGCATGCTGCATTCTCTTTGCCAGTTCTATGGGGTGCAAAGTTGTTCTCCAAGTACAGGGACTGTTCTCACTTTAATATAGCAGAATGCACCGCCACCCCCGAGCCACAGCATGATTGGTGCGTTGGTCATTAATTTGAGCAGTACTTTCCCTTCCCTTCGTCAGCAGATGGCCCGGGTTTGAATCCAAACCCATATTCCCCTGGCCTCAGTTTTATGAAGTGGGGACACTCTGAGCATGAGAGCACGTAAGTCTTACAGCACTTCACACAGTGGCCATCCCTCCAGTAACAACCCTACCCCCACCCCTGTGCCCCCACCCCCACCATGCCCGCAGTAGGCCTGTTCTTCACAGGGATGGGGGTACCTTGCTGTCCAGCAGGTCTGCATTCTGCCGCAGTTCATTCCTCGTCCTCTCTGCCTTCTCCAGCTTCTGTCTCAGCGCTGTAAGCTCCTCCTACAGAAACAAACAAAGCCATTCTGGGATTGAGAAGTGAGAGGCCTGTGTGCCACTTGGGTCAAGAGCGGTTGGGGGATGGGGGCGGCTACTGAATGCAAACTCAAACCCGCCTCCACTGAGTCCATTCCAGCTCACAGCGACCCTCTAGGACAGAGCAGACCTGCTCCTGGAAGCATCTAATGCTGTGTGTCAGGCTTCTCGGGACCAGACCCTCTCACCTTGTTTCCAGCGGTGGCTGGGAGGCCCAAGCAGCCCAACACGGCCCCCTCAGTGCGGTGGGTTGAGTGTCGGATGTGTGCGTGCAGGACATGACGCTTTGGAAAGTAGAGGGGCAGGGAAAATGAGGGCGGCCCTCGATGAAAGGGTTGGACACAGTGGCTGCAGCCATGCCTCAAACAGAACAAGCAGGGCGGGGCTGCTGCAGGACTGGGCAGTGTTTCGCTCCGTGGTGCATGGGCTACTGAGCCAGAACCCAGTAGACCGCACTTAACAACAGCATGTGGGTCGGGGGGCCTGGGGTGGGGGGGCTTCAGAAAGTTCATCAGAAAGTCTCATTATCTTTTCATTCCAGTTTTCCCTACGAACTTTCTAAAGCTCTCTGCCGTGTGTGGAGAGGCTGGGACCCACCATGGAGGGTGGATGTTGACACTGAGCTGAAGGGTAGAGACCAAAGCCCAACTAGTGACTGCATCGTCCTCTGGGGTCCTTACCCGACGACCGCAGGTGACCCTGTGTCTGGTCAGGGCACAGCCAAGGGCTGTGATCTGTTTTCATTGAATTATTCTTTCACCTTTCCTCTAAGTGGGACATTTTCCCGGGAGTGCAGGAGTTTAGAGCTGTGCTGCTAACTGAAAGGTCAGTGGTTCCAAACCACTGATGGTTCTCAACCTTCCTAATGCCATGACCCTTTAATACAGTTTCTCATGTTGTGGTGACCCCCACCCCCCAACAATACAACTATTTTCATTGCTACTTCTTAACTGTAATTTTGCTACTGTTATGAATTGGGTGACCCCAGTGAAGGGGTCGACCTCAGGGGCTCGTGACCCACAGGTTGAGAACCACTGCTCTAGAAGAAAGATGAGGCTGTCGATACTCCCAAAGATGAATATTCTTAGAAGCCCTAGAATGCAGCTCTCCGTGCTATAGGGGCTTATAAGTCAAGATAAACTTTACTCTGGTGGGGGTTGGGGTTTTTTTCTTTGAAGTGAAGATAAGAAAATCCATGCAAGACCCTATGGAATGGTGGCTCTGTAGGAGACTTGAAGTGTCCCTCTGGCCCTGTTGGTGTTGCCCATCCGCTGTGTACAGGACGGAGGGTGTGTGGGACTGACAGCGGTGCAGGGGTCTTAGAGCAGAAGCACAGTGGGGGCTGGGCTCAGCTGGGGGAGGGGAGTCAGGGACAAACCTCCTTGGCCCGCAGTTGCTCCTCCCCCAAGGTGGTGCTCAGCAGGGGCCGCAGGGACCCCAGGAGCCGCCACCACGGCCAGTCCTGGACCTGCAGGAACACAGCCACATTCCTCTGGATGCACCGGGTGGCCAGGCGAAGGATCTGAAGAGAGAGGACAAGGAGACTAGAGGAGGTGCTTTCCACCTGACCAGAGGAGGAGGCAGAGGGAGGCATGATGGGGGCATGGAGGGCGTGGGTTTGCAGAGCAGTGAGCAGCCAGGAGAGCAAAACACAAAACAACACAAACAGGTTTAGGTGAATTCCTACTCTACTATGACAGGCCCTGAGCTCTGGGCAGGCGCCTGGTATTGTGGTCAGTTACACGTTGGGCTAGGAACCACAAGGTCAGCACTTCAAGTTCACCGGCAGCTCTGCTGAGAAAGATGAGTCTGTCTATTCCTGTAAAGAGTTACAGTCTCGGAAACCCCTGGGGGAAGTTCTGCTCTCTTCTCTAGGGTCCTTACGAGTCAGAATTGATTCAATGGCAGTTGAGTCTCGCTTTGGTTTGAGGGCACTAGGCATTCATCCATGATCCCTTAATCCCGCATGACCCCATGGTGACAATCACAAGGAGCCCACCCACTGCCACTGAGTTCATCCCGCCTCTTAATGCTCCCTCGGATTTCTGAACAGACAGACCCATCTCTCTCTGATAGAGTGGCTGGGGGTGGAGGTGGGGGGATTGAATTGCCAACCCTGAAGTTAGCAGTCTAATGCTTATCCCACCATGCCACCAGGGCCCCTTAATCCTATATGGTAAGGGGAGAAGATAATATTCCACAGGGTCACATCTAAAGATAGGTTTGAACACCAGTATACAAGGCAAAACCTCACCTTAAAAGTACTTGAGAGTGCCCATCAGAAACAATGTTCCTGATTTTGTTGTTATCTAATACGAAGGGGCTTCAAAATGCTCACGGGGGAGAAAAAGATTTCACTATCTTTTAATTCCATTTTTTCCCATGAGCTTTTCAAAGCTCCCTCATAGCTAAAAAACAAGCTTTTTTAAAGAGTATTTAAACACTACTACAGTATTTTTCAATTTCCACGTAAGCCGGAAGTAGTAGTTGGTGACGCACAGGGCTGCAAACTTAAAGGGTCAGTGGTTACACCACCAGCCGCTGCAAGGGAGAGATGAGGCTGTCTGCTCCCATAAAGATTGGCAGCCTCTGAAACTCATAGAGGCAGCTCTACAAATGGACTCCATGGCCATGAGTTTGAAGGGGGGTTTTGGTATGTAGGTGGTTGAGTCATAAAGTATTGCTACAAAAATCATAGAGACCTTTATTAGGTAAAAGTCTTGAAATGTGAAGCCATTGTTTCTTGCCACAGCCTCCATCCGGGGCCATCCACATGTGAAGGCAGTGTTTCCATCTCTCTGAGCCTCCCCTGAGGACTCCCGCTCTGAGCGCTTTGATTCACAACATCTCCAAGAGGCAATTCTGGCCTCCTCATGTGACACAAATCATGTTCATTGTCTCTAGGGAACACAAAGGAGTCTGAAGGGGCAAGATCAGGACTGGAGGGTGGATGCGGTAAGGTTTCCCGAAGGCATTCTGCTGAGACAGCTCTCGCTACCCTGGGAGAATGGGCAGGTTCATTGTCATGATAGAAGACAGACCTCTCGGTGAAGCTTTCCTGGACTTCGTGTCACCAAGGCAGTTTTTCATGTTTTAAAAATTCTTCCTAATAAGGTCATAATCATTCTGTGTCCTTGGAGATGGCCCATTGGAATAGCCTCCTGAGTTGGTCTTTGGCCTTGACTTTGGCCCTTGGAAGCTACTGGTTTGATTGGAACATTATTTGTCTTTTGAAGGCACCATAATGAGGCTGTGGTTATGTTTGGTTGCCATCGAATGACTTTCCCCCTTCGTACAACAGAATGAAACACCGCCTGGTCCTGCGCCATCCTCACAATTATTGTTATGTTTGAGACCCTCGGTGCCATCCTTGTGTCAGTCCGTCTCATTGAGGTCCCCACCCTTTTCACTGCTGCTCTACTTTACCAAGCATGATGTCCTTCTCGAGAGACTGGTCTCCCCGGATCACATGTCCAAAGTTTATGGGATGACGTCTCCCCATCCAGGCAGCTAAGAAACATTCTGGCTGCATTCTTCCAAGACAGATTTGTCCATGGTACTTTCTATATGCTTCACCTGCACCAGAGTTCAAATGCACCAATTCTTTGGCCTTCTTAGTCATTTTCCATGTGAAAACATGCATCTGAAGTGACTGAAAATACCACGGCTTGGGTCAGGCATACTGTTGGCCTCAAAGTGACATCCTTGCTCCTCAAATACTTTAAAGAGGTCTTGTGCAGCAGATCTACCCAATGCAATGCGTCCTTTTATTTCGTGACTGTTGATTCTATGAACATTGATCGTGGATCCTGATGATGAAACTGAGGGGCATGCGTATTCCTGGGAGAAGGTGGCACTTACTTGCAGCCACCCCCTGATGGTTGAATCATGTTTCAGCACCTTTGCTTGGTATAAACCTGTGCATATATCAACAAGAACCCTGGTAGCAATACTTTTAGACTTATCCTCGTGTTTATTTATGTATTCTTGAATCTTAAAAAAATATCGTGAATTAGAGGAAGGTTAACAGAGCAGGTCAGAGTTTTACATTCAACAATTCATATGCATTTTAATTCAACTCTTCCATGGTCACCCCCTCAATGGCCCATTATTTATCCCATTTCCTCCCTCTGTTTCCTTTTTCCATCCTTCCTTCTGTCTTAACCCTCTGCTCTTGGATAATGCTTCCCTTTTCATTTTCAATGGTTGGTTTCTACTTCAATAGATAAGGTCATAGAATTCTGTCTCTAGAGAGTTCTGAAGGCCAGGGCCAAGAGTGGGTCTCCAGATTCTGAATTTATCCTTGGGTCTCCTAGATCTTAGTGGCCTTGGCCCAGCTCCTTCCTTGTGTGCTGTTCTCCAAAGACAGCGAGTTTGAAATCCCAGACTGAGCCAGGAGAGCATGGACTACCTCCTAGAGGTCAAGATCAAGGTGGAAATTCCTTGAGAATTTTGGGTCACAGACCTAGGAATAAGCAGACTGCCTTGCCCATGGCTGGCTGACCTGCTTACAGAGATGGGTCCTTGGACCAGCAGCAGCACCATCTTCTATGGCAGGTAGAAAAACAGAGTCCTTTTCTTGATGGAGGTTCAAAGCACCACGTGGACAATATCCCACAGATTCCCATGCACGCAAGCATCAACATGAGTAGCGTGGACGCACTCACACCCTCATGAGCCAGGGGGTATGGCCCTTCTCTAGAGTCTCACCTCTGTGGGGATCCCCGGGCACACTGGCCTCCGTACCTTACACTTTCTGAATTCCTGGCGAGACAGGAAGCCCCTGCAGGCAGCCTGGAAGAGGATGATGCTCTGAGACACCAGTCTTTCCCGCTGCTTCTCCAGCCTGGAGACCACGCCAGCCTTAAGGAACACCTGGAAGGACAGAAGGCGGCAAGTGGAAGTGGGTGCACACCCCACCCTTTTTCAATTCCACTCCTACTAGCTGTTCTTTCATGAAGGACCCCTCGTGGTTTCCTAGAGGGCCAAGCATTGGACTGCTAACCCAAAGGCTGGTAATTTGAGCCCACTGGGTTCTCCAAGAGAGAAATATGAGGCAGGCTGTTTTCATGAAGATGTACAGGCTTAGGAACTGCAAGGGGCAGTTCTACTCTGTCCTCAAAGGTCACTGTGTGTCAAAATTGACTTGAAGTGGCATGAATAGTTTGCCCTCGATGACTGGCCTGATCCTGTAAGTTCCATGGGCCGCCAGGAATACTAACAGATCTGCTTCAGAGGAAGTACAGCCAGAACGCTCCCTGGAAGCAAGGACGGCAAGACTTCATCTCACCTGCTCTGGACTTGTTCTGGGGAGGGACCAGGCCCTGAGAAGAACATCATACTTAGCAAGGGGGTGGGGGCTATCAGTGAATAAAAAGGAAGGTCCTTAATGAGATGGATTGGCATGGCAGCTGCAGGGACAGGCTCCAACATAGCAACTCCTGTGAGGATGATGTAGGGTTGGACGGGGTTTCCTTCTGTTGCTCACAGGGTCACCATGAGTCATCACGCAACTTTGTGTCCCCTAACAATGGCACTGCCCCTAAAGGTTGCCTGGGAATCAACCTGAGTCTTTTTTCCATTCATGGTGAGAATTCTATCACTGAATCTTTCAAGACAGGTGTGATGCTTTAGGGGCTGCTGGGATTCCAGGGTCAGAAGGCCATATGGGGTGTCAATGCATCTCACACAGCCACTCCCTCTCTGCCAGGGCTCCTAGGGCCATTCAGACACCACAGTAATGGAGCAGCAATTACCAGTAGCCACGGGGTTGGCTACTTCTTCTGAGGCACCCTTGGATGATTTGAACTGCCAACCCTCCAGTTTGTCGTGAAGCACAAACTGTATGTGCCACCTACCCACCCAGCACCAGTGAGTCGACACACTGGCTCACTGGGAGCCTAAAGGACAAGGTGTACTTGGCCTCATCAGATTTCAAGGCTGCCATCCTTATGGAAATAGACCGTTTCATCTTTCTCCTCACAGTGGATTTGAACTGCCAACTTTTTGGGTTAGCTAGCCCACGGTGCCACTGAGAGACCTGCATTTTACAGATTGAAAACTGAAACTCGCTGCCATCTGGTGGATTCTGACTCACAGCCACCAGATACAGCAGAGCAGACTCCAGAGTTCCTTAAATACCCAAGGACACATATAGTTTAAATAATGAAATGCCTCTTGTAGATTAGAGTCACTATTCATTGGAATTAACTCGTTGGCAGTTGAAATTTTTGGTTTTATACATTAGTGAGGCACCCTGGTGGTGTAATGGTTACATGTTGGGCTGATAACCACAAAGTCAGCTGTTTGAAACCACCAGCCACTCCATGGGAGAAAACTGTGGCTTCTACTCCTATAAAGAATTATGGTCTTAGAAACCCACAGGGACAGTTCTACCACATTCTATGAGTTCACTCTGGGTCAGAACCGACTTGATGGCAGTGAGCTTATAGGTCAGTGTCATTAATGAAACAAGAAACACTATTTGGTAGGCATCTTGCCACCAGACCAATGGATGCAATCTGCAACGATAGCCCGTCGTGTTGAATGACAAGTTGCAGACGCCTGCATCCACCTTGAGAGAGATCAATAGTTATGTTTCACAGATGAGAAAACAGAGGCTCTAAGAGGTGAAATTATTGCCTCGAGATTCACATGGTTAGAAAGTGGTGAGACCTAGGCATGCACTGGGCGAACCTGTTACTGGTCAACCCAGTAGTGGCCTTCCCAACTAGGAGGCCCCTAACGACAGAGATATTACATCTGCCTTTAGAAACTCATTCTGGAGCCCTCCTAGCTTAGTAGTTATGCTTTGAGAGGCTAACCTCATGGTCAGCAGTTCAAATCCGCCAGCTGCTCCATAGGAAAAAGGTAAGATTTTCTATTCTCATCAAGATGTATAGTTTAGGAAACCCACAGGTATAGTTCTACCCTGTCCTGTAGGGTTTCTATGAGTCAGAATTGGCTGGTGGCAGTGAGTTTGATCCCAGACAATGCACCTCTAACACAGTCATCCCTGTCTATCAGTGGGGTGGTTGAAGAGGTTCAGGGGAGCTTCCAGACTCAGATGAAGTAGGAAGAAAGGCCTGGGGATCTATGTCTTAAACCCAGCCAATGAAAATTCTCCAGATCACAACTGCCAGGTCCACACCAACCAAGGGGAAGGCAAGGTGCTGTGCAATGTGTCTGGGTCGCCAGAGCCCATGGGTGAAGACGCCAAGCCAGCAGGCAAACAGCCCAGTAAGCTTCCATGGGGATACAACCACCTGGGTTTGCTCTAGCCCAGGACAGCACCCTGCGGCTTATAAGCCACGTGTTGCTCTTTCAGTACGCATGTGGCTCGGAGGTAAAGCTGGAGAACTGTGAAGGAATATTCAGGTGAGGGTGATTTCATTTGTTTGTAAAAATACATTTATGGCTCTCAATTAAATTTTAAATTGTTGTGAGAGCCACGATTGGCTCTTCCATTTCAGAAGTTTGCTGTCCCCTGCTTTAGACAGTTTCCTCCTGGACATCAGTATTATCCACTAACTGTACTCCCTTAGAGCAGTGCACAGGCTGGGAGACGTGCCCTGGCCACCGTGAAACTGTGGGCAGCGACTTCTTCACCTGCCTCTGATTGCTTCCTTGCTCTTCACTCGAACCTGGGATCATGCTGTTCTTAGGGGCTGTTGCCTCGGCTCTGACTCACAGCCACCTTGCGCACCACAGAACAAAGGGCTCCTGGTCTCACTCCATCCTCACAACTGTTGCTACATTTGAATCCACTGTAGCCACTGTGCCTTTCCATCTCCTTGTGGAGGGGAGGGGCCATTCCCTTCTTTACCCTGAAGAAGACACACTGAGAAGCTAGGGCAAGAATTGGGTTTCGGTCCCAGCCGCCACAAGCAGAATGACCTTGAGAAGCAAGTTCTACTCACCTGGCTATGCCCCACGGCCACCGCCTCCTTCTCCAGGTCCAGGGTCTGCAGGAGTGCTTCCACAGCCTTGGGAGCAGAGACAAGGTGGAGATTTCCAAAGTTATTGACTGCCCACATGGTAAGTCAGCAGGGCTGGGAGGCTGGTACAGCCCAACAGAGAGGGCCCATCCAGGGGTCTGAGAACTCTACCAAACAGAGCCCAAGCTAAGAACATAGCCCATCTCACACAGGGAGGACCAAAGATGAGCCCAAATTATGCACCTACTGTATGCCAGCCACTCTGCTGGGACCTTCTCATGGGCCATCTCTTCTTATCTTCTTACCAACCCTACCAGCAATGCCATAACACTAGTCCTATTTTACAGACAAGAGAACCCAAGACCTCCAAACAAAGGGAGGGCCTCCCCTCGGGGTAGAGCCAGGCTTGAATCCAGGTCCGTTGGGCTGGCAACCGCAGAAGAATGTCTGGACCTCACGCTGCATCTGCCACATGACTAGGACTAGGATGGCTCTAGAAGCTACCCCCTGTCCCCAGTGTCCTTCTGTTTCCCCGGGATAGCCACTAGCTCCCTGTTCTTCTCACCATGAACCTGCCAGAGAGGGCCTCTGCCTCACAGATATTTGCTAAATGAATTACACCATCATTAAGCTTGCCTGCCGGACCCAGATTGTAGCTACATGGCAGGAGAGAAGATGCTGAATTCCTCAATGCTTAATTCCTCCACAACACCTTGTACTGTTCTGAGCATCCTGTTAAGTGCTCGATCAAAATGCTGATGGAATGAATGACTACCCAAACAGAGAGATGCTTAATGGGGTGAAAAGGCAGCCCCATGTTCCTGCCAAAGGAAAATCATTCAAAGAGATCCCTGGCTAATGCTTAGGCTAAATCACCCACCATTTCGTCACCTTCCAAATAATCACCCAGGCTCTGTAGCAGCCCTTCCGATAAATACTGGTCATGCCTGGTTCCTTCTGGACTTCCAAGCCCCCCTCCCACTCTGCCCCCAGGTGCATCATCCGTTCACTTAAAACCAGAAAGTCTCTTTTTAGAATGAGTAGTTAGGAATATCACTGAAATCCAGTAGATGGATTTCAATTCCATAGTCATCAGCATCACTGACAACTTCATAAGATAACCTCCTCCTACCCCGCCTCCCCCCCAAAAATCCAAGTCATAATGAGAGAGATCAGACTTATTGGTCAGATGGAGGCTGGTCAGACCCCCACTACTAGAGCCAGTGGTGGGGTTCAAATAATTCACTGCCCTCCCTCAACTCACTGCTATGGAGTCAATGCCTACTCGTTGGAGCCATATAGGACAGGGTAGAACTGCCTCTTTGAGTTTCTGAGACTGTAACTGAATGGGAGTAGAAAGTCTCATCTGTTTACTGAAGAGCGGCTGGTAGTTTTGAACTACCAACCTTGAGGATCACAGCCAAATTCATAACCACTAAACCATCAGGACTCTTCACTTCCCTAATGACTGTTTCAAGTATAAAAATATATAGACCTAAAGGTAGTTTATTATTTCATACAGTTAGTTATTTAAGATTAAAAAGAGGTACACAAAATGAGATTATTCTATACAAGTTTTAAAATACTAATTAAAAATTAAATAATATCTGACCCAAAAAACCAATAAAACTGCTATTTAAGATACTCTCATATTGCTTCTACTTACAGTATTTTCCACTCCTGCCTGACCATCACTGGCTGTGTGACTTATCCTTAGCCATCTTTTCACTGTAGGAATAGGATCCCATTCCTTTGGAGGTAGGCCAATTAGACAACATTCACTGTGTTTGATATATTAGAAACAGGTTACTTTTCTAAACATATTTTGTTCATCTTTGAAAACTGCTTCTGCTGAACTGGTAGCAATTGTTCTGACAATATCTGTAGCTCTTCAAAGACTTTCAGGAATGGCATAATTCACTCAGAATCTCATGGTTATCTGGAGCCCTACAGCTGAAATGAACGACAGCATGTCCTCCTCTGGCAGTGTGGAACTTTTTCTCTTTACATGCTATGTTTGTGTACTGAAGTAACAAATGCAAACGAAGAAAAATGCAGTGTTTTATCAAGAACATAACAAATGCTGTAAAATAAATGAATAAATATCACAAGCATAGTTTCGTCTACTTTTTATACCCTTGGGCAGAATGAACATGACTCTGGGAGTTTAGAATACACAGCGGGCAGAGGAACACTCAAAAAGAGTCAGGAATGTAAATGTGTGATTTCCACAGTGGGCGGCTGCCCAGCTGTGCACTCCAGAGAGAACCCTCATTACAAGTGCCATTTTAACAACTGGTTCGCCGAACTCAACAGAAAAATAAGTATCAGTTCTGCCAAAACAGTGCGAATCGGCCGGACCCCACCACTGCACTGGCCCTTAGTTACCCTTCAGAACCAGGACTGAACTTGGCCTTGTTTTTAAATTGATCAATAGTCATTATTAAAAGAGTCCACCGTTTCCACAGGGACAGAGGGGGAGCGAAGGAGGAAACCGGAGACACGGAGGAAATGGGGCAGGAGGTGGCACAGTGAGAGGACGGCAAC